TGCCTTTTAAAATAGTATATAGCCAGCAGCCTTTTTGAAAAGGGTGTAGCCAGCTGCCTAATTTAAAAGGCAGCAGGCTGCCTGCTGCAATTTTTTTTCTTGAGTCAGCTCGAGCTTTTTTCGGTCCGAATCAACGAACCAATTTGTCATTCCTAAGTTATCGTTAGGAGAAAAAAGAATGATATGAATTAAAGAAACGGTGAATCACTTTCTTGCCAAGAGTAAAATTTTTTTTGAAAATATTTATTTCTAATATATAGAAACTAGTTATAACATTGATAATAATGTCAATTGTACTTCTTTGATTTTATTAATTAGAGAATTCTATTTAATATTATTCGGTGGATTATTTTCATTCTACTACATTTGTTTTTTAATAAAACCTAGTTGGTCTTTACCTACTGAATTGGACATAAATGAAATTTATTTCTCTTCATTCTTTAGTCAATATATGGTTGATTGCAAATCCTTGCTTGTTATTTAAGAGAAATGTCGAAAGAGAATACGTTTGGTGCATGCCTGACCTGCAATGTTAAACTCTATTGAACAATTAATTATTTTAAATATATTTTCTTTTGAAAAATGACAAATATTATTTAATTTACCATTTTAAATTTGTTACAAGAGAAATTAAAAAAATAATTTTATTTAGTATAAGTAATGTTAAAGTACCAGTCTAAGTATCATAATACAGTAGACTCAATTAAAAATAAAATTATATGATTCATTTGGAGTTTTGCTTGGGAAACAGGGCTACCTGTTTGAAACGAAATATTAATTCATTTAATTGTGCGTACCATTTAATAACACACTTAAATGCCATTTGGATTGATCTTGTGATCTAGATACATGAATACGAATAAATTCATCGATAATAACTCTAGATTCATGTAATTCAAGATTCATTAAGTGAAAATTCATTGAATCTAGATTACTATGAATGTTAATTAATTGAAAATTAATAACATAAATTTCATAAATGACAATATAACTATGTAATATTTATTACATATCGAGAACTGAAAAGTAAAGTATTTTTAAAATAATTGAATTGTAAAGAAATTAAAATTGTCCAAAAAATAATTCTCCCATGATGTGATATTTTAATTTATTATAGATTATAAATTAGAACCATGTAATTAGTATGACATATTATGCAATGCGATACATACTTGTTAAAAGTAGAAAAAAATTGTGTTTATAAAGTTAATTAGTCAATTTGAAAGGTTGAGCATGACACAAAGCAAGGACAAAGTGCCACCAAATTTTAAATTGGTACGTAGGAACAAGTTGAATGCTAGCTAATTACACAAACAAACCACCACATAATAAAAACTAATTTTGATATGAGGAATTTTTTTTCATATTTTACGCCCCGAAGATCATCAATATTGAAAATTTTCGAAAAAGATTCATCCCCCATCTCTATAGGTAAAGTAAAAAATCAAATTTTTAGCAAAATTTGATAAAAATTAATAAAATATATGGTTGAATATATGTTTAAAATTAATAGTTAATTTTGACTTAAATTGTCTAGAGTACCAAATAGATGCTTAGATTTTCTCTTTAGTTTCAATCATTTGAATCTCCTTTATCCATCTCTTTCACTGGTTCATCAATTTTGGAAAAAGCCTCCAGCACTAGTTTTGGTATATAATTTACCCGTTTTTTTCATCTTCCATTGATTTCAAGCTAGGTGGTGTCGGTCAAAATTTTCTATTGAAATTTTTTGTAGTTATAAGTATGGTTGATCAACTTTTTGTGGAGAACTTACGACAAGAAGTGACAACCCAAATTATTATGTTATTCACTTTAATAGGTAAATTATAATAAATAAGAATATAAATTATGTTTTTTAAATATTTATTTCTTCTAAGTAAAAAAAAAAAAGTATAGGAACAGTCAAATGTGTCTGCATAACCGGTGGCGCCGGTCAAAGGTCATTACTTGTTAAACCAATGCTCTCCACAATTTTCTGCTTCTTACCAACTTCAAACAACTCTCTCTCTCTCTCTCTCTCTCTCTCTCTCTCTCTCACGTCTCCCTCTTTTTAAAATCATAATGAGTTGTTGATGAAATTGTTTTGTGGACTGATTTGAAAGTTGAATTTTGTTGAACTCTGAAGAATCATTTTGAATTATCTCTGGCTTTTTTTTTTTTTTTTTTTTGGGGTTTTGACTCGAAGTTTTGGTACTGCAGACGAATGGCTGTAAGTTTACCTTATTTCTTTCTGGCCGATGTCGTCTTTACTCTTTACTTCTATATGGATGCTTCTATCTTGTTTTGGTTTCTGCTCTAACATTGTTATGTTCGAAAGTAACATAATGTGATTGTTTACTGTATTTCGTACTGAATTCTTGGTGCAGCCTCGTTGTATGTCTCTCTATGTGTAAATTTATCTTCTCTGTTTTGCTAAATTACTTTTCTTTAAGAATTTTGGGTAATTTATATTTGTGCTGTTCATTTGTTTTGTATGATGGATTGACAAAAAGAAGGAGAAGTAGTATCGTAAAATTTTCT